GCAGTTATCATGGACAACTCGTGTGCAGTCGCCTGCCGTGATTCACACAATTCCCTTTGGAATCATAGAAAATATTTTTGATGACCTATTGCTGAGAGCCCACCTTTCTTGATAGCTTTGATTAAAGTAGGTCCCAATTGAACAGCAGTTGTTGCATCATCAAGACACTCCTGGTGGTTTCCTATGGAATTCACGAGGTGAGTTTTAGATGGTCATTACACGCAAATGCAGAAAAGGGGCCTTAAAAAAACTGCAATCGCTTAAATCGAGGTCTATCTGCAAGGAACATTTCTTTGATCGATTTTGATCCGGTGTCAGGAAAAACGAAATTTATTTTAGTTAATATTGTGATCAGATTCCCATAGGAAATAAAATAACCCTATAAAATTTGCCTCGCTCCCAACTTGTGGTCTCCTCTCCCAGCTAGCATCTGGGGTGCATTGGCTCGTCTTCTTTGATGCAATTTTTCAGATTGTGGTCCACTTTCTAGAATCACGTCTTTGATTGAAGGAGATTGCGTATTCCATTATCCATCGCTGCATGACAAGTTCAGAATTTTGAAATAAAATCCTTACCCGAATGAAAATGAGCTGCCGCCCTATTGCTATAAAGCTTGGCGTTTAACCGTTTATCTTTGCAGTTGACTTGAAGTCCCTCAGTGTAGGAGTTAATCGCGTTATTAATTTCTCCATGTCTGAATTCTTTGTTTCCTGTCTCGAGACATTCTTTTGCTATCCCTGAAAACAAACCGCGTTAAGGGTCGGATAATTTGTTTTTCATTGAAATGTTGAAATGTATCACTCATAAGTAAAACGCTTCTCTATTTTTTCCCTATTTTCTTTTTTTGGTTTTATTTATTAGTTTGTGTTTTCCATTTATCTGTAGTGCTATTGATTTAGTGTCGACATTCAATCCGTGTGTCTGCATACGACTATACACCTTGAACAGATTGCGCGTGGTCGAGCGATTTTTTCTTTTTTCTAATAGCGATAAACTTTGATACAAATGTGTCAAAGACTATACTGGGGGCATCTTGTAAAAAAATCTGATTTCACCTTGTTTTCTCACCTCTCAAAGGGTCATCACATACACCCAGTTTAGAGTCACATGAAGTAACTTGACTTTCCTCTGTTGCTGAAATTACCAAGAAAATGTTTAATGCAATCAGTGATCACAATCATGTGCAGTTCCAACAATTGATCAAATACACTTAAGCCCTCCAGGCTACAGGCGAGTTTTTAAAATTCCTTAAAACTTAAAGTTGATGTGGTCTTAACTAACTCCAAAATTACCATAAAGAAGACCTTCCCTATCACTTCTTGAGTTAATTTTTTTTCTTTATAAAAGTCTTTAATATATGATTCTTTTCTCTCTTCGTTCAATGTATTTTTACTTATTTAAAAACCAGAGACCGCAAAATAACTTCGGTTAAGGTCTCCTAAAGATAAATGGGGTTTTGGTCTGCTTACAGCGGTAAAACTTTTAACGTCTCGAAGCATCG